AGGTTGTAAAGATATCTTCAGTGTAGAAATGACCTATGAATAGAAATGATATTAAAAAGTTCTTATTTTGAGATGTTGATTTTTAAAATCTGCTGTAATAGTGTAAAGAAACAAGTCTGAGAGTTATTTTTTAGTTACTTTTATTTTTGCTTTTATTCTATTTTTGTTTGGGGCTTATGTTTTGTTAGGATGAAGGTTTCCTCGCCACTCACCTTAGAAACTTAAAAAAAGAAGAGAAACCAACTCACCGACAAGAGAAAAGTGCCGTAGATAAAACTTGCGCACACTTGCGCTCCCAAGCAGAAAAAAGTAAGTCCACACCGAGAAAAGGGGGAGACCCCAAAAGCACAACTTAGAAACTTGCTAAGCCTTAAAGAATAAAACATCCCGAAAATATCAAAAAGAATAATGTAAAAGTTTAGAAAGTATTGTTGGAAAATAGGATGCCAGACAAAGTTTTTATTGTTAGCAAATAAGTATGTAAATGAGGGGAGTAATCTCACTCAGAATTGTGACGTCACCTCACATTATAAAGACCAAACCTCAAGTGAAGATGACCAAGGTAAGCTTCTGTTAGCAATGAGTGTGGTGAGCTTCATAGCAGCAAACGAGAAAGAGGTGTCCAATAGGATAAAGTAGTTCCAAGGCGATTTTGAAGTTATTCGATTTGTGGATCGAAGATTAGAGAAAGTCTTGAGAGTTGAGGAAAAAGCTTCCTAATATATTGAGGTGATGATTAGGACCTTTAATTCATAAGAATTATTGTACACAAGTTAAGTCTTTGAATTTTGTCGAATTCCAAAGGGGAATAGAGTTAAGTTAGAAAATAGATTGATTTGAGTTTTGTCGGGTTGATTCTTATTGATTTACATTGAATAAATTGTTATTTGATTTTTACTAAATTTTGTATATAGTTATTACTAGAAATTTTATTAACTATTGGATTATTTTTTGAATAACTGTCATTATTTAATTTGGTGCACACTTAAAGTCCAGGCCTGGCACATTAATGCGAATCCGCGTAAAGTATCTGTTAGGTAACAGCTATTTCCGGCACACAGTTGTGTCGATAATCGTTGGAAAAGTCGGAAAAATAATATAATACTTTACAATAGGTGAAATTTAAATATTTGTAGAAAATTAATAAATTAAAATTTGAAAATTCTGTGAAAACTGTGTTAATTACCCCATGATCAAAAAGTACTGTGAATGGTTCAATAAAATGAATTTATTTGAATAAAACACATCTTTAATAATCCAGCAAATAAATATTAGTAAAATAAAAACGTTTCTACCATTTTTTAACAATCTTCCTCAGTTAACATAAAAATAGAATGTAAATATGAAAATAAATTTTATTTTATTATTTTTTTAAAATTATTTTTATTTTACTAATATTTATTTGTTGGATTATTAAAGGTGTGTTTTATTCGTATTTAGTTATCCAGTACGTACATTATATATAAGTATATGAATTTATTCATCAAAATTTATTTCATCCCCTTCCACTGCAATGCATTTATGTCAACAGCTTTTCCAATCCTCAAAACATGCTTTAAACTCATTTTTGTGAAACCCCTTCAAGACTCTCAGCAAATTTTGTTTTATGGCATCAATCAACTCAAAATGGTGACTACGAAGCAAAAATTTTAGTTGAGAGAACAGAAAAAAGTCATACAGAGCTTGCAGAATATTTCTTAAATTTTTGTCCAAAAATTCACCAACAACAAGAGCATTGTGAGCAGATGCATCACTGTGGTGCAAAATTGATGAGCTTTCTCGTCACAAATTGGATTGTTTTCTACAAATTGCTTCATGCAAACAATGCAAAATGCTCAAATAATATCTTTTGTCAACAGTTTGGCCAGCTGGAAGGAATTTGTGAGGTCCTGGACAGGTCCAAACTGTCACAAAATTTGTTGCTAGGTTTAATGAGATCCCAACCTGGATCGTGGGAGAGTCAAAATTGAAGTTGAATTCAATCTCCCAACAAGAGATGGTCAATCTTAAGACTTACTTTCCTTTTTCTATTGTTTAGTTTGTGTTGTATTTTCGAATAAATAAAAAAAAATTGTTTCTAGTGTCTAACAACAAATAATTTTAATGCATGTGAACAACCACTTGGAAAGTGACCAATTGGAATGGGTGATCAAGAATGGAGAATGATATAATCCTCAGACTTCAAGGGCGCATCACACAGACACACAGTTCTCCTAAATTGTGTTGACAGTCGAACCTGTGTCACCTTACATTCCAAGCAAAATCAACATCACTCCTGATGATTCACCTAGTGCACAACTTGTTCTGAGACATCTTTTGCCAAACACCTTATCGTCACTGCCCCAGAACTGCCTTTAAAGGTCTTTCCATCAAATGATAAACATCAAATTAAAGGACTGTTGGACGATTTGGATAACTTTTGTTACTTAAAAAAAGGAACTTGTCATTTATCTATGTAAGAAACTTTCTTAATCTGAATTAAACAAGTTTCTTTTGTAAAGGTGCCTAGTATCTGTGCCTCCATCATTACCACTCACATATGCAAATACCCTTAACCATCCTGATGAGAGATTTAACGATTCCCCTTCCAGTTGGCAAGTTCACAAATTCGTGATGCACAACACCACGACAATTGAAGAAAACAGTCAACATGACTTTGATTTTTTACTGACTTTAACATGGTCTTTTTGTCTTGTTTCACCTTTCAAGCACCATTCACTTGATTGTTGAGCTGTTTTGGTGGGTAAAGAGTAGATCCATAATTTTTTCCAAAAATAATGTGTTTGAATGGCTGATTTGTGTTCTTAAAAGCATGTTTCATCATCTATCATTACGGGTGATGAAACATGGATCTATGCTTTTAAGAACACAAATCAGCCATTCAAACACATTATTTTTGAAAAAAATTCAAAATTTTTGGGATGATTCGAGAAGCAATATGCCACAAGCCCAAATGATCTTTTAAAATTGCTTGACAAGATCAAAATGATAATGAAACATGTTTAATAATGTCCCTAAGCATTAAAACCTATCCTCAAGTACCAAATCTCTGACTTGAGCAACATATTGTTCATCAGTTGAAGTGGATGGTGTATTAGAGCATTGTTTGCCTTTGATGTGTTCTCTGCCTTCCTCAAACATCTCGTACCACTCAAAAACTCTTCTTTTTGACAGAACATTTCTGTTTTGTAGCAGTAATTCAATTCTGAAAACAAAATCTAATGCATATTCTTTGCTCAATTACATTCAACATTTTGAAAATTGTTGGTACAAAAATTCTTTACATATAAAACAAGCATTTATTTGCAAATGAAAACAAATGATGATGTATGGATTACTGTTAGATTTTGATAAGAATCATATCAAATGACAAAAAAAAATTATGACAGTACCCTCTTGCACACATGCCATTTAAATAAAATATTCCAAATATATTTTTTTCATAGTACAGCAGAGAATCGATTATCCGACTCAATTGGGGACTGGAATTGATCAGATAATTGAAAAAACGGATAACCAAAAAATACGAAAAAATACATTATTAGTATAGTATATTAGTATATCCCATGTAATTAGTATATTAGTATATCACTATTAACCTATTTCGTGTTGAATTTTCATCGATGTTAAGCCTAACAAAAATTTTTTAAAATAATAATCGTCGCTATTGTATCGTTAAAAATTAGAAAGTCAAGCTTCGTTTAAATCCTGGCCTCCTTTCATGGTCGAGCCAGTGTTGCCAGCTAAAATACGTAAATATAATATTAAAGTAGCCAAGACATAGCCAAATATTGTAGCACCACATTACTAGCAGACATTTGAATTTGCCGACTAGACCAGTCAGTTAACCGACGTGACGGTTGATTGGAGGTCAAATAATTGATGCTCTACTGTAGTATGAATTATATTGGAAACAAAAAACTGTTAGGATATATCTGTTTCTGATCATTTTTAGAAAGGATTTTCCCACAGAAAAAGCAGTATGTTTTTAATGTTATCTGCAGGAGATCATATGCATAACCAGAGATTATCATCTGCCTTAATTAAGAAGTTTTAGTAAAGAACTTGCTAATTGATACCACTGCCGGCCTGAGCAAACTTAGTGTCCTAGGCAAATGACTTTGACGTCATCCCATTTAAAAAAAAATGAAGACCGTTAATCATGATTTAATATGCAGCATGCAATATTGCAATCACGAGACTACAGTGCTACTTTCAAAATGGCAACTCGTGGATCAACACATGAGAAAGAATTGTGATAAAAAAAACATTTATTTTTTTCATTATTTATTGTAATTTATGCATGTACTTTTGCCATGCCACCCCCTGAATTCAAGTGCCCTACATTATCTCCTAGTTCGCCTATATCAGGGATGGCCAACACGTAGACCTCAGTTGACCAGTCGACCACAAAGGTTTTGAAAGTAGCCCGCAAAGCTAAAGTTGAACAATTTGCTTTCACTTAAATTAATGTTTAAAAATCTTAATTTGATAATTTATTCTAACAATAATAGACTGTTTGTGCAACGTACCCATACTGTTTGTATTTATCCCAATAAACAACGCAAATGAATGTTAATGCATGCGCATATAAATGGCAATCGCATAAAATGGCGCAAAATCATGTGTCAGATAGTAACGTGACATATTCATAGTCTCTCGCAGACTATATTTTACCGAAAAAGTAGCCCCTAAGGGATAAAAGTTTGGCCACACCTGGCCTATAAGAACGAGCCAGGCCGGTCCTGGTTGGTACGGCATCCAATCAATCGTACATTCCATCTGAATAAAAATATATAATGCACTACACAAGTGCACCCATTAGTGCAGTGTGATCACCTCACAATGATACTATGAAATAAAATTTATTAAAATTTCTTTAATTTTAAATAAAACTGATGATAAATTTAATAATTCACAAACAAATTATTTTAGACCTATACTTAATTTTTTATTTAAATTTACTTTATTCATTTATAAAAACAAAACATTTTACTTACCAAAAGATCACAACCATCAACATGCATATATTTATCCATGAAGTCAAGAATGGTCAGCCATAATGCAGTAAAAGTAGGCAAACTTAATAAAGGATTTAAATGTTGAAGAAAAACCNTTTAACATCCAGTAATGAAATTTAATGTAAAACTTGACAAATGTTTTCAATCTTAAACAAGATCTGCATCAGGTCAATGTTACATTTCAAATTGCATATATTATTACACAAAATAGTATAAACAAAAATTTATGTTCATAACTTTCTGCTATTCATCAGTCATACATACCCGTATATCCCTTATACTTGATTTCTTTTTTTATGTGTTTTTTTTTAAAGTTAAATATCAACAAGAATCTAAAAACTTTAATAAAGCAATATGTTTACATTTTGTTACAAGTGATAGCTGGTTTGTATAGTTTTGTCATGCCTGGCATATTGATCTATTGACATCACAGCTATCCTTATTTTCATAGTCTCTCCTCATTTCTCTATAGAGCAAAAAGGTTACAATTTTTAAACTTGATTTTTAGAACTTTCTACATCATTTTCACTGTTACATTGCAAAGAAAATTTGGGTTCTTCTCTGTGATAAATTAGACTATATATATATATATATACACATATACACTCTGATTGGAAAATCCTAGACAAAGTTCTGAACTATCTAATTAATTCTGAACTATCGAATGTAATTGTGATATTAAAAATGCATTTAGAGAAGTCTATGGTTTTTACTGGTTTATCGAATAAACGATACAAATGGACCCTAGACCATTACTGACATGCAATTGACTGATTGCTCCTGGATGTCGGCTTCTTACAGAAACACAGCTTTCCTATCATCAAATGTCATGGCATGCCCCTGCTACAATATGTTCCAGAGTATTTCTAATAAGTTTAATTTTGGCTATGATGTATATACAGATGACTTTGAATGTGTATACTTTATAAGTAAATTATTATAATTATCCAGTAATTTAATTAAAGTCGATTCTTTTCATTCAACTTTTTAATATAATATTGAATTAACTCATATAAATTCAAGCAATTAAGATATTTTAATCTATATAACACAAATATTACCTTGCAAAGCAATGTTGCACCTCTCATTCTTGTTTCTTCCATTCCCATTGGATCTTGGGGATTTATATTTTCTAATAATTTAGCAAGGAGTGGAAATAATACCTAAATAAAAAAATGTAACAAGTCAAACAATTATTTTAAAAATAGGACTTTCCTCTAAACATGAAAAAGTCAAACATTTAAACAAAGCAAATTTTGAAATTTTAAATTAGTTTATATAAACCAAACTATTCAAAATATGACTAAAGTTTGATACTGATCATATGTACATTATATATATGTATAATTTTAATCATTATATTTTCAAGTGATTAAAATAATAAAAGACAGTCTCTATTACAATACTAGTGTAATTTACAAATGATAACATCTCAAAGCTTGAGTAGTAACAATAAATCACCAAACGATTGCATAAATATCGGGCTATAATAAGGCTAATTAAATGATTGGTATAAAGTAATTTGACACTAGAGGTAGACGTTAGGCACCATCTCTTAAGTAAATTAATAATTATAATTAAATAAATAAATTATTAAATAAATTTAGAACCTTCTGGAAAAAAGAACTTTATACCAATCATTTAATTGGCCTTATTACAGCCCAATATTTAGACCAGTGTTTTTCAACCTTCTTGAATACGTGACCCCTTTACAAGTTAAAAAAATTCTGGCGACCCCCCAGGGCCACATTAAAACTATGTCAGTGATTGTAAAAACTACGTATTTAATTTTCTTTCTATTGAGACCTAAATATCGATCGAAAAACCAATTGTACTTTAAAATAAACAGGCATAGCCTTCTCAATGAAATTGTAGTTTTTTTTTTATTGTAGTGTAGAACCTACAAACACTTGTCTTTTTTTACCCGCGATCTCCTGTGTAAGGCTTTGCGACCCCTTTGGGGGTCGCGACCCACAGGTTGAAAAACACTGATTTAGACAATCATTTGGTGATTTAGTGTAATTTATTGATAAAAACAACTAAACACCAAAATAAACCAGCAACAAGTTGCTCAACTTTCCTGGCAATATTTAAAATTTTGTTAGTTGTCTCCACACATCGAAATGAGATATAAATAACACTTATGTTAATTAAACTTGCTAACCAGAGTGATTGTGTAATAGGATAGCTAACGTTTTTGAAGCCCCTTCTGGGCTTTTCTTCAGGCTTTTTTGTGTAAAAAAGAAGCTGTATGTTGCGAATCGAATATTTCCTTTTGAAAAGATTGCTGTTCAAATCATCATACCTTCCAGGAGATTTACGTGTGATGATTCAAACAGCAATCTTTTCAAAAGGAAATATTCAATCCGCAACATATAGCTTCTTTTTTACACAAAAAAGCCTGAAGAAAAGGGGCTTCAAAAACGTTAGCTATCCTATTACACAACCACTCTGGTTACCAAATTTAACATAACTGTTATTTATAAAATTTTGGTTGGTGACATCTGTTATCATATTTTGTTTTAAAAACTTTTTATATTTTTAACTATTATAAAATGGGCAAAAAGCTTAATTTTGAGGGCAGGAACAAACTTTTATAAAAGACTGTAAATGCTAATAACGAGTAAATTAGTCATTAAGTTCAACCCTACTGGAGATAAACTTGACCTCCATTATTTTCCCATCCCCTCAACCTTTAACCACCAAAATTAAATAGTATCAATCTCCCTAACAAACAAACCTCTTTGCAAAATTTCAGAAATTTTTGACAGAAAGCACAAAAGTTATTAATCTTCAAATAAAGTGAACAAAATCATGCCCCCCACACACATACATACATACTCACACTAATATCCATGCATACAAAAATTACCCCTGAATCTTTTTGCATTTCTCACTGTTTCAAGCTGTTAAAAATGCAAAAATGTAAAAATCTGCAGAGGTAATTTTTTGCTGGATTGCCACACTTTCTGTCTGTTACAAAAGCTGGGTAAGTAAAACCTGCAGATAGCAAATACCTTTAAACATTAAACAAAACAAACATTTTTTTCCATTTTGAACAGTCATCTTCAGGTTAAGAAACAAAGAAAGAATCAAGTATGTATTCTAAAAATATAACACCACTACAAATTATTTTAAAAAATTATTTATTTGTTGTGATAAAAAAAACATTTGTTTTGTTTAAATACATACATTATTTACTGGTTTTTTGGTGTTTTCTTTTAATTAATGATAAAAGACAACTTGTAGGTTAAAAACTTAAATTTCTAATCTTATAAAAAAACTATCTAAGCACTTTGACAGTTGAGCTAATCTGATAATTTTTAAAAATTGGGAACAAATGGACAAAGCAAGCAGAGTTTGGGCTGTCTACAGTAGCCAAAAGGCAAAGTCCCACTAGCAACTTATAATAATCTGAATATATCTAAGCATTTAAAATTTATTTTTGTTCAAAATTTGAAAAAATTCAATAGATTTATAAATTGCAATACAAAAATATAATTCAAAAATAAATATCATTAATGAATATTTTTAATGCTATGTATTAATTAATANAAAGATTTGTGTTTGTAGGCCCTTCAGAAAGCTCTCCTATTCCTACATTGGAGCAATTAACTCTCTCGTCAAATATTGATTTAAATAGAGAAGAAACTAAAGCCACATTTGTAACTGCACTTGGTAATTTACCTCCACCACAGCCAACTCCATTTTTTCCCACTGTTCCTCAAGGAATTGAAAATACTATTACATCATCATTGTATATTCCTTCCAGACCTATTCCATCTGTCTTGCCAGAATCTGTGTATTCAACTACATCTAGGTTACTTATATATATTTAATAGATAAAACTATGAATAAGAAATTGATTTAAAGTTTTAATAATGAATGTTTGTTTAGCTCTCCAATTCTTAATCCTGCTGTTACTACGATCACTCAACCTGTTAGTGCCATTTCTATACCAACTGCAACTGTTGATCTACCAATTGATGAATATCCAGCCACAAAATTGTCATCACAAGAGGGAAATGGAATGTGGGGATGGCTCAAAAGCAGTGATTTGCTTAATAAAGTGGCAGAGAAAGCAAAGGTAAAAAGTATTGATTTTATTGTCAAGTAAATATCATTAATGAATATTTTTAATGCTATGTATTAATTAATAAACCTTATAATGAATGTTATTCATTCTTTTATGAACTGTCATTAGTCCTGTTTCTTAAAATTTAATAGTTTTGTTAAAAAACCAAAATAAAAATAGAAAGAGAATATGGAAGAGCAGAGTTTAGGAAATATGAGGAGATGACAGACAACAGGGAGAAGAGAAAAGGAATATGAAAAGGAAAGAATAATGCAATTGGTGAGAGGAGAAGGAAGAATTTGAGGGAATTTGAAACTGGGCATAGAAAGGAAAGATTAGGCTAATTATTATGTAATTTATGGCTTGAGTGTTGTAAGTGAAAATTGTAAATTTTGAACTGGCTATAAAACAACAAAATAAAGACTTGTTTTTGTTTGTTTAAACTCAGAGTTTTGTGTAATTTAAAATGATGTTGGCAAAAAAATAGTTGTGAAAGGTTTGCTATTTCTTCATAAACCTTTTTTTGTAAATTAAGTTTGATTCTACATTAGATGACAATACTGGTCTAAAAATTTTGTTTGTTTCAGAAACAAAACATACCAATTCCTAATGATTTTGACATGCTGAGTTCAAAAAAGTCTTAAACATAATGGATTAGCTGAGGTTTCCAATATAATGTGATTTTAACAAAATACATTATATTCAGTAAGTGTCTTTGGGCTCCCTCCTTATGATGCAAACTGCAAAAGTCATTGTCAGTGGCTAAAAAGAAAAAGCACTCAAAGTGCTGTCGCACAGTGGTTATACCATGTGTAAGACCCATATTTTATCCTAGACATTGGTCTTAAAACCAAAGTAGAGACATTAGTATATGGTGGTTGAGTGAACCTGGTCAGTGGTGTTTTGTGCTCTTGTTCTTGTTTGTATTTATGTGGAAAATATTTTGTGTGGGTAGTGATGTTGGGCACCATTGATTTTGTCTTGACAAGAAAAAAAGACACTGGTACCAAAAGTTTGGAGATGGACCAAACAGTTCAGAAGTTACAATGGATTAAAGATTCAGTAAGAAAAAAGACTCTTTCTAACTGTTCTAAAAATAGTATAACGGTTTTTCTAACAGTCATATCTATGGAATTGCATTAATTTTCAATGATACTAAATCGTCCATGAAATATGAAGTTATCTCCTCATTTTATTACGTTTAACATTAGCCAGGTTGGCTATTAACGTTAGAATTGTTAACATTTATATTGCATTGTCCCCATGGGGTTGAGTGGGAAAGAATTTGTGGGAAATTTGAGAAAGGCAGCATATTGGTCCTTGAGGACCTAAAAGGATACATAAAAAATAATAATGGAACCAAGATTGGAATTCAGAAACATACTGAATTCATAACAAGCTGCATTCAAAGGATAATCAATATATATGAAGATGGCATGAAAATGAACAAATTTAAAGAAATCTCCAATAAATTAAGACATATTGTAAAATTGTAATATTGTAATAAATTAAGACATAATTATAGAAAATGAAAACCAAGCAAAAATTTTAAAAAATCAAACTCAAGTTCTTGAAAAAATAACTAAAATAGAATTAAATAACACAAAGACTGCCAGACAGACCCTACTTTATAGTCAAATACTTAAAAATAAAATGGGAACTCACCCAACAAACAAGAAATCTTTACCAGGTTTTTCTGACAATGTATTGTTAATCTATGAAAAAAAGAAAATCACTCCTGCAAAAATACAAAAAACTAATTAGGGAAAGTGTTAAACCAACAGAACTAAAGATAGGTGTCCAAAGGATTAGAAATATCCATGAGAGTGGTATTGCAGCTGAGCTACACAAGGAGGAAGATTTAAAAACTTTGAAAAGAGTGATTAATGAAACAATCCCACAATTTTTGACAGTGCTACCAAAAAAGAAACTACCACTAATATGATTAAAATCTGTCCCAAATGAGCAGAATAAAGATGATATTTATAAATGACATCCACAGACAGAATGATTGCATTAATCAATTATATGATCTTGTAGACCTAAAAAGCAAACTAATCTTAAAATTCCCAGTGGGAACAAGGGGTA